GTTTTTGGGTTTTCTATATGAAAGGACCCAGTGCTCTATTGCTTACGTTTTCCTTTTTTTTTTTTTTTTTTTTTATACCAACCTTTGTAATAATGTCAGGGAAAATATTTACACTCGGTATAAAACACGTAAGCCATTGGTGTTCAGCCGGTGGCGACGGTTACGGTATTTATTTATAAGTGGCCTCCTCCCTCTTGTACGTAAAACAAAAACGTTTGTTTGTTCTCTCAACAAGCCGTACGTGACCGGACCTCGAAGAGATGAAAAATACAATTTGACAACGTGGAGAAAAAAATCAAAAAAAAATCCAATGACCACAGAATTCATTTTCTATGTGCACGACTTACATTATAACCGTTCATATTTGTGACTATTCGTTTTGTTTTTTTCTCTCCAGAAATATCCGGTCTATAAAAGGGACCGTTACGAAACGGCACCGCGCTAAATATAAGCTTATCTAAACCCATCGTGAACAAAATTTAAAATGGTCTTAAGTAAAGATAAATTCTAATGAAAACAATTCCCATAAAAAATCTTGGTACACAGAAGCATTTTCTTTTTTCTTTTTTTTTAAGATTTTAAGAGATCATATAAAAGTAGGCAATACACTAAATATACTACTGATAATCTTAAGCCAGGGAGTAATCGTCGTTCTCTATACATGCGCAGATTATGTTTTCGAGAAGAGTGAATGGGTAGATACTCTGAAAAATTCGACATATTTTGTACATACTATAGTTAACCACGAGCTCGTTGCCTATAGCGACTTATGTGTAAATATAGTATTAAATATTCATTTTCGAGGTAAATTGCGCAACATTATGAAATATCAATTTAACCTTTATCAGTAAGTAATTATAGGTACAAATTATATGCATGTATTTCAATAGCCCTGTGAAAATATTATGGAACTGTGTAACGTGTACACAGCTAATTAAAATGCCGTTAAGTGGGTAGGTGGTTAATACAAAAAAAAAAAAAACCTTACGTTTTGATTACGTTTTAAATGATAATGAAACGTAATGTGTGATGTATATATCTATATACTATAAGAACAAAGAAATATTATTGGTTTAAATAGAATTAATTTGCATACTTGCAGTTTAATATGTCGATAGAGAACTATTGGCGTCTTACCTTAAAATATACGGAGTTTTCAACCCCTGAGACTTTATTTGAAACATATTCTTCTAGATGATCCTTAAAAGTTATTTGATACAATTTAAAAAAAAAAAAAAAAAACTGATGACAAATGTCGATGCATAATACTATCAGATTTATTTTTATTAATTACCAGGTTACATTGGCTGCAATGGAAAAACCGACACTATCACAATTCCGCTCAGAATAGTTTTTGACACAATGGTTTATTGATTTCAGTATATAAATTAAATTAGCTCAGATCCTATATATATATATATACCTACATTTTAAACCTCTTATGAGTATAGTGACCTATCCGTGGTAATAACTAGACCCCGTGTTTTTTATTATCTTTTCTTCTTTGTCCGTTCCTTTGAATGCTTAAATTATTTTATAAACAAAGAATTGAAAGAAAATGGATTAAAAATGCATCTATATTATATAATAATGTCATCCGACCTAGATAGCATTTATATTTGTTTCTTGAGATATAATTCGCTTTGTGTATATTTTCTGAACAGATCTAACCTTTTTTTTTTTTGGTTTTATTTTTTTTCTGTCCTGTAACTAATAAAAGGAGAAGTTTTTCTCCATATTGCCAAATAAATCAACCACTTTTTCACTGCGTAGCAAAAGCCAACACCAGACAAACCTATTAAATTTAATCTACGAGCATGACAGCACATATAAAGAGCTCTTGGATTTCCTTTACTAATTCGAGCTTGAATTCCACTATCATTTCATATTATTTTTAGTATTTACCACCGCTACCACCACAATAATATTGTCTACTACTTTGTCCAACATTTCATTTTAATCACAATTGCCGATTGTAAAAAATATTGAAGAAAATTACCTACCCACTTCATTAATGTATTTTATATAATAATATTAAAAAAAAAAAAAAAAGCTGTTATGTCAGTTTTTTGATTAAAGCAAGATTTCATATAGGAAAATTGTTTAGAGACGAGGAAAAATTGTTATGCCATTGTTATAGGTGGAAAATTGGGAAAGTAAGATATATTTAAATATTTAAGTATGTTGCAATAAAACATTAGTACCGAAATACTATTCTCAGCGATGTTCTACAGACTGTGATTTTTACGATGTTTGTTCACATTTGGATTTTAAAATGCCTTAAAAAAAACTACATTACGTTAGACATTTTTAAAATCACCAAGTACAGTTTAGGATGAACATCGTGTTGAATTTTCCAGCATTTCTATTCGGCCTAACAATCATATCCACACAACACCAAATAATATTAAAAAACCTGGACGATTTCAAATATCGTTCAAATAGTTCAAAAACCGCCAACATTTTTGAACTTCTAAACATGACCAGAAATCGAAATAAAAATAACGAAACCGTCTTTCCGCAAACTTTCCCGTTTATCTTTTACTTTTTCATCTGTTTTTAATAAAACTACAAAGAAAATCAAAGAAGCTACATTTGAATTTCGGACAAAAATCGCAGTTAAAAATATCAAATAGAAAAAATCTAAAATAACGAATGCTTTAAATTTATTCGTTTTATTCACGGTGTTTCGAATGTGAAATTAAAACTATAAGAAAATATCAAAATATGTTCTCGACAAACAAAAATGGTACTCATGTGGTTATTGATTGGAAATAGGTTTCTGGTAGAAAAGGCCCGAAATTCCGTTCCGTCCGGAATCTAAAATTACACATTATCCGCGTTGAATAGTGAATAACATAGTGCAATTTGCGAGAAAAGATTTTCGAAAAGTGTTAACAGGCCGACGTTAAACACTGCAATTTTTATTCGGCTTGCCGACGCGCGAAGAGAGGATTAAATATAATCCGACGGTTTCTCACGAATAGTTATATCTAATTTATGTGATGTAAGAATACGGAACGCGGGAGTAAAATATTCCCGTGAAAAGAATACGCGTTCCACACCCGCAAACTACCCCCAAAAATTATTTCAACGTTAATACGGGCGCAAAAATAAAAGAAAAAAAAATTCGGCGATGCAATAGATCGGTAAGACGTTTGCAAATTGTCAATACGAACACTGTGCAGTGCACGGGATTCGCGGTTAACGGCATTTACGACGGAGTATACATTTTTCCGGAACCCCATTGTTAAATCCAGTCCCGAAATGATAAATCGGCGGGCGTTGTATAGCCGAACAGGTCAATAATATTATGTATCGGGACTTTCCCGTCGAAGACGAAAACATAATAGGGACGTCAAAACGGCGAAAAAGGATTTTGCCACCCGCGAGGATCAACGGCGATAACGTTAGATTTCGCGTTATCGGTGCGCATTTTGTGTAAAACTAATGAACAAAATAGAAAAAAACGAAATACATTTAAAACCGCGTTGTTACGATAATCCGACTTACGTTTTTCTTCCGTAGGTACACCCATTCTATGGATATTTTAATTTTTTAGTGTCAAACTAATCGCGATTTAGGCATCATTTTATCGGTTTTATTACCTACGAAGTGTGCTTTGTATGTGCGTTTGTCCGCGGGAAAAATTATTTCGTTTGACCACGGGTTAAAATGATTCAGACGATGACGGCGACGATGATGAGAGTGGCAGGACGTCTTATGAAAGGCATGGCTTTAATCTGCTTTTTTTTTCTCAATTCTAGAGCGGAGAGTTCCTCCTTTTGAGTCTAGTCTTGTGTGAAATTTCACAAATTGGTCTTTGATCCGCACTTGTCAAGATACGGTCTTCCGGTGTCGTTGTGGAATTGTTTGTACCGTGGCCCTTTAAGATCTAAGAGAATATGTATTTCGTAATGTCTGCAGTTTTTTTGTGATTTTCGTTTTGGATACGGCAGCTTACACTGGACATGCTTTAGTTAATAATAGCGGTGTATTTATTGAGGTGTGCATTTGCAATCTGCGTTTGATTTTTAGAGTTGATCTTTAATTTATTAGGGGTTGAAGATTATTTATCGGGGTTCGCTTATAGGCCCGCAAATTTAGTGTATTTTTAATATGCATTTTCCGGATTAGTTTTTCATCGATTACGATCCCTAGATACCTATTTTAACGATTGGGTTTTGTTTTTCCTATATTATGGATCGCTGGTGATTGGTGATTGACCGGGCGGGGTCCGTGTACTTCCGTCAGGCGAATATATTCGATTCCTATTTGGGTAGGGTTCAGAGTAACATTCTAAAAAACGAAAACGATAGAATACGTTAATATAATATAACAGTAGAACAGTAAGTTATTGTTAGGCGGAATTAACGAATTTCGCACCGGACGCTGGCCTCTTGGAGCCGTCGGACAATGTCCGTCGACCCGTACAGTCGAGATCTTATTTTCCGACGGTTCATTTTTAGACGTCCGATCGGATATTCGAACATCGGGCAATAACATTATACGTGTGGCCGCCTCATCGGTAACTACTCGCGAATTCGTGTGCCGATCGAAACATCGGCGTCGCGGTGATACTCTTGCGGGGGACCTACTGACGTATTTTCGTTCGGTGGCCTGTACCTATTGTTCTGTTTCACGCAAAACGTTTAGTCGTCCCGTACGCTATCCACACGAAAATTCATATCGACCGTTAAACGCATTGTTTCGATTTGTTTATTCCGGAAAATAGCAACGGTTTTATGAACAAAAAAAAAACAAAACAAAACAAATCGTATTGCATGTATTTTAAAATGCATAGACACGCGGGTGTCAAAATTCAGATAACTGTAAGTAATCATACAGATGTATAGTTATAATCGAGGATTAAAAATCATTCAAATTGTGTGATAAGCAATGTAATTTCAAGAACGGAGCCGTTCTTCTTCGGGCTGCTTCTCCGACAAATTAGTGGTACCGCCTTGTATCGTATTGTACGAATTAAACTAAATTGTCTCACCAGTTAGATTCAGCGCGTATTGTACCCTTAATATTTAGTTATTTCATAATATTGTTCATTATCTATACTCGCGATAAAATAACATTTGTAGGCATCAAAGGCCAAACGGTACCCAATTGATACAAGACGTTCCTTAGGATTTGAGAAGCCCAGGGCGTTATGTCAAATATTCTCATATTTTGTTATATTATTATTGTTAATATAGAACGCAAAGCCCCAAATCTAAATAAAAACCGCGAGACCCAGAGCTCGGGTCATCCCTGAGGACAGCCCTGAGCAAATAGGCCGTAGCCATTGGAAAGGGGAAAGGTCAAGTGGGGCCTAAGACCCGGGCACAATACCTAGAAGGGCTACGAAATACCCTAAAAACCTATAAATTTTACGGTAAAGAGAAATTAACACGTCGGTGGAGACAGTATAGGCCAATAATACTACTATAGCAATAATGTTTAAATTTGATGTCAATGGTCAAATGTAAATATTACTGCTATAGTGTGGTAATATAAAACCATCTAAAAATTGACATAACTGCTGTGACATTGATATTTTTAATGGTGTCAAACAAAAAAACAATGTTTTTCTAATCCAGTACATCTCAACTGAACAATAGGAATTTTTTCTTTTTAGCTTATTTACACGCGTATTTTTAGGTTTTTTTTTTTTTGGTTGACAAGTATTATAGTAATAATGACAGTGACATTTTTGGCAGGTTTTGTAAAAATAAAATAAAATGTAATATCCATTAACGCGTGTTAATAAACAATTGTGAAATTTAAAAAAATCAAACATTGACGTATGGGATATAATCATAACACTAATTTGGTTATAAAAATCGTTCGGATTTAAATTTGAATAAAAGTTCAAAAAGACGCGTTTTAAAGCTTCACACCTAATGCAATATTTAGTTGCCACGTTCCCTGAAGACCGCAAAAACTTAAAATTTTGTAATTTTCGTCACAGCGTTTCGTCGAGTATTGAATATTTGCGTGGTTCACTCTAACGAAAACATTGCTTCAAGATAAATTATAATATTTTAATGATATTCTGAAAATCGAAAACTGCCACGGTTGCGGTTTATGGTGGTTTGCAGTTAATATGCTTTTAGTACTGGTGTTCGTCAAGACTAAATTTAACCCTGTCGTATTTAAGTCTTCGGCGGTTGTACAAATTTCCTCTTGTGGCTAAAATTGTATAAAGTATAATGTAATACTACCCAAAATCAAAATATGCAACAATTTTACAATAGAATTTAAAACCGGAAACTCCCATACCGTTATACATTTTCAAAAATTGAAGATAGATATTTAATATTGTGTCGTGCTCCAATTTAAAGTACATAGAACGTCAAATAAATAATAATAACAACGTTAAGTTTCGTCGAAAAAACGAAAAAAATTGACATTTTAGTACCTAGTTTTCATAGTTTCTAATAACCGGTCACGATGTACGATGTTTAATGAAAATCGTCATAGAAGAAGAAGTATTCAAATACGGTCTTCGTGCCTCTTTTTAAATATGCCTCCCTCGAAATTATGGGAACGGGACCAGGGGCGGAGTGCATAGTTCAAATATTATGATGGACGTGTATAAGGACGGGTTATAGGGATTTAAATGAATTAATTCACAAAGGGCAGGCATAGATAGATCTGCAGCAAACCGACCGGACGATTGAAAACGAGAAGGTAATTTTTTTTTGTTATCGATTCCCGAGACCTAAAAACAAAAAAAAAAATAAATGAATAACATTAAAATATTATGGAAAAAGACAATTAATGATTGTCTTGCCGGTTGATTTACGACGCGCGCGAGAATAAATAAACAATTATTCACATTATTTATATTGCCACGAGCAATGCGTATTTATATTTCGGGTATAATAATATTATTGTTCGTATTGATATTTTGTTTGTTCGAGTTTATTATTGCGAACCGTATTGTCATTGTGTTTTCTTGCTGTTGGATAATTACAGGCCACGCGATAGTATTTTCGAATTTTTTTCTAATTGCAATTATGATTAACTTTCGTTTTCGTAAATAAACCGCAATACCCGAGTGTGCGTTATAATCCGAGTATTCTGTACAATCGTGTGTCGACATGATCGAGGAACAGTTGAGACGAAACGCGCGTTCGGTTGTCGAAACCACCGACGTGGTATTCCGCGGGAAGATTATTGACGTGCCGGCGTCTAATTTCACGCATAATCAGGATTTGCTGGGGAACGTCGGGAAACGGTCAAGGCCCGGCCGGTCGTGTGATGTGCGTGTTCCGGAAAATCGCCGGGCCGCCGAAACCGTGGGCGTTCGTCGCCGCCGTCGGGAAGTACGCGCGCGCGAAACGGACGACGCGGTACGCGGACGGGACGGTGACCGCGGATCGGTTCCGGTCGATTGGCCTGGCGTCCTCAACGCCCGGCGGCGGTCGTGTCGCGGCCGCGGCCGGAGACCGTCCGGCCGCCGACGCCGCGGAGTGCCCGGCACAACGAAGTGAAACGCCGGCGGACGCGCGAAAACCGGCGTCGGGTTACAGTTTAAACGGGCCCGCCGGCCGGGCCGAATGCGTGCGGAAAAACGATAGAGCGACAGTAACAACGCCGGAGGAGCGCGCCCGAACGGCGAATGAACTCGCGAACCGGCGACGCGTCCGTGGTGGCCGGTAAACGTCGACCGCACGCGCCCGCGGCAAAACCGCACCGATCCCGGAGTCGCGTTGTTTTAAACGCGTACGCTTTTCGCGAGATATTTCGCGGCGCGTCGCCGGGCGTCGACGTCGCCGCACCGCGAACGGTACAGTACCGTTGCACCTGGACGTCGCGTCCGCGCAGTTACTACATTTTCGCGTACTTTTCACCGTTTCACGCATTGACTATTTCCCCCCCCCCCCCCGGTTAACACGCCGATCCGGACTGCCGATCGATGTTTTCGCGCGGTATTTTTCACGCTCCCCGTGTCGATTTCGCGATCTCGCGACAATACGTGTAATCATGACGCCGACGACAAGGTGTCCCGGGTCCGGCGGCGGGAGGAGAGGTGGAAACTGTCGGTTTAGCGTATCTTAGACGCGTTCGTCGGAAAACGCGATAAACTCTCTTTCGGGTGTGCGTGTAGCCGGTCGCCGACGAACTCGCGACTCGTCAGACCGATCCCGCGGGACAACGTCGGTGATAACGACGCCCGCGCGCGAAATCCGGCAGTGCAGCGGAAACGGCCGGCGCGTCGCGACCGATTCTGATACCGGACGGACATTCCGACGTTCGGGAACGTTTGTCCGGCCGCCAGAGAAAAAAAAAATGTGTTTACCGAGACCCCGCGGAGTGCGGGCGGTCACGGCACACGGGCCGTTCATTTGTCGATACGATTCGCTCGATTATTTCCATAACAATAATACGTCGACTTTCGCACGGATTTTTTTCAGCGTTTATCTCAACAAATTTAAACGTACAACGGTAATTAATAATGTTTTAATAATGTCAATAGTGTTTGACAATGTTGAACGATTAAACAAACAACGTTGAACCCGACATCCGTGTTAACGATGATGGTGTATTACGTGCAATACACGGTGCTACGTACATACGGTTTTGGATTGACGGTCTTATCGCTTAGCAAATAAAACAAGAATTATCACGTTTACCGACCGTGTGTCGACGTGTATTATCGCACGGTTTTAACTCGCGGAAAAGTTGATTGCCGTTTGATGTGCTCTGACTGCTGATTGAAATATTACGATAGACCAATATACAAACAACGGTATAACATTCTGATTTGCCGAAACTCCGAAAAACTGTAGAGAGTAGAAGACCATAACCTAAACGAATGTTTCAAACACCGAAAATATTGAATAGGGCAAAAGTCACGGTAAGTGTCACGTAACCGTGGTACACCCTGTATAATCCATAGAACTTTACTGACATTATAACGTCACGTCGGCGATCTTGTTGTTTTTTTTTTGTTTTTTTTTTTTGCGGTCATTCTACAATACGCCTGATTAGTACTCACGCCACGTGCGAGACTGTTATCAGTAATAATTTGACCGTTTGGATCCAAACAGTTTAATTGCACCGTTAAAAACACGCATGGTACATTTGTAAACATTCGCCGCGTATTGAAATACGAGTATGTACGCGCCTACTAAGTTTTACACTATTATTAAATAGGATGTATTTCAATGAAATATTTTGAAATAAAATAATTATACACACGAATACTCGAAGTGTAGAACATAACGATTTTTAAGTAACTCCCCGTCGCATTTATACGCACATTTTAATTTGTTTGGGTCTTGCTTATCGTACTGGATACGGATTGTTATCAGATAATAATATGACGTCGCACTAATCGCGCGCGCGTTGAATTTCCTTCGTAGGTACGTATAATTGTCGTACAGCCGTTGTCGCCCGTTCGATTGACGCGGTGACATCAAAAAACGAAGATCGATAAAAATAATATCAGATCAACTCATTAAAATATTTATCAATAAAACAAAATAATATTTTGTAGTTATGGAATATTTAATGCGAAAAACGGAAGTTTGGTTTTGCCGCCGACGGGTGTTGAACCGGAGACCTGCCTACCCTAACCGATTCTCCTAATGCCCTGTCCTATCCGCTAAACAACCGATCGATAATGACACCGTAGAAAACCTTCGAGCAAAACTTCGCGGATATATTAATTATAATTTGCTTATTCAGAGCGTTGTAGCACTGAAACACGGAGCATTGATTCGAATAACACATATATCTCGGTTTGCCGACGGTAAAATTGAATTAAATACGTGCATCATCAACGCGGGTACTTATATTATGCACGTTGTAATACGCGTTATTTATTGAATACAATATCGATCTAGACATTTCTCTTCGAAACAATTTTGTTATTTTAGATGGAAAAAAAAAAAAAAAAACATCTATTTTCAATAGACGTCTGTCGATAATTTCGATGACAATATCGCAACACGAAAAAACCGTTGTTTTCTAAAATGGAATTTCGCTAGGGAGGCACTTAAGAGGGTATCATTTGCCGACCTTTCGGCGGTTTATCGTCGCTTACAGGTATGCATTCAATAACATCTAAAACAGCGGCCGCACCCGTTATCCTATGACGTCTTTTTAACTATACCTGTGATGCCATTAAATTATAACAATTGGGAAACCGTTGAATACCGAACTTTCGACGTTTCGCGGTACCCGCTGTAAATCGTATTCCCCAGGTATAATAGATT